AGTAACATACAATTTTAGATATTCGAATATTTTAGAAATACCCAAAGTTAGAACTTCTTCTTGTGGTAAAATGTAACTCCTTACCTGAAAATTTTAAATGTCAATCTAACATTTTACAGTTTAAATCTATGATAGCCTCTTGGTGCGGTAAGGACTGTGGGTGCACAGCCTGCTTCACTAGGTAAGTTATGTAATCCTTGTTTGTGTGTCTGTACGTGTGTGTATCTTATATATGTATCTTTATCTGATATATTCTCTTAATGTGACTGTGTGCTGTACTGTTATAAGTAATTCTATGTTTATAGTGCTGCACGTTTCATTGTTTTACTGTTATTTATATGTTAGTAATGTCAGTCAAAAGCTCATCAGTGCTTGTGTTGTCTTTTTTATTTCCAAACTGACTTTTAATAAAGCTTACCATCTTATCTTAGGAGAGACCTTATGCCAAAATGTGTTGTCAGCGTTGTGAGACATTGACTTCCTAACCTCAATGATCAGCAGTACATGGGACATATGTGGGAATGATAGGGAACTTAAACCAATGTTAAAAATATTTTTTGACTTGTGAATATTTATCTACATATAAGTGACAGATACTGGAATATATTAAGTGAGTTATCTTAACACTTGTTTACCAAGATCTGTATGGGAAAAAAAATGCTGCATATTTATTTTTCAACACCTGCATATTTACTGTTCAAAATAAAAAAATTTTGCAGACATTTTTTTTCTTTACAGATTATAAAAATCAGCTAGTGAAAATATTTGTAGTAGAGTATGAAAAGCATTACCACACAGCACATGGCTACAACCATTTCCTGTGTAAACAAAACACCAGTTACAGTGGCGTAGCTAGCAAAAAAAAAAATAAAAAATTACTGTGTTAAAAAAGGCAAGAGGTCTGGCCTAGTTGGGGGCAAGGGGACGGAACCCTCGAAAGCTCCTGTAATATCATGTTTTTTTGTTTTTTTTTTAATTTTTTTTTTTTGTTATAATAATTTTACTATATATGAAAAAAGGCTGAGTTTTGAGAGAATCCACGAAATCTGTTTCTCCAAAAGCATTTCCGTTAGTATGAAGGCATTTCTTTTTCAACAGTGAAAAACTGCAGATCATACTTGTAACATCCGTTGAATAAGACTGATAATTTCACAGGTGTTATTTTTACAATCAGAAATGCAAAGTACTACGTGGCAGCACAACTCTATCTTTTTTAAAATCAATTTACAAAAATATCAAATTTGTCATATTTGAACGTTCAAAATACCATTAATGTTTAATTTTAACTAAACTCGGCTATTTGTTCAAATTTACTGAACCCTTATTTCATTTTAATTTGTTTTTATTTCAAATGCACCTTATAATGTACCTTCATCGCAATATCGTTTTGAACGTTAATAGAGAGACAGCAGAGAATAGAAAATAAAATAAAATAAAACATTAAAAACAGAAAAATCAATGTTTGATATGGAATATATTTCACAAGAAAGTTCTTTTTTTTTCAAATATTTATAATTTCAGGAGTGCGATATCCAACTTCAAACACAGAATATCCATTTAAAATGCTATTACATTTTCAAATATTGATTGTTTTTAAAATAAAGTACTCGTGCAACGCAGCAAATTTGTATTTTAAATTACCAGGAGATGAATAATTTATATAATTACTCAAACTTTAAGTTTTTATAAAAAAATTCTTTGAAATTCAAAAAATAAATAAATAAATTAGATAAAACGAGAAGAAATTGTATCAAATATCAATAAAAAGCTGAAAATTTTAAGGTTAATATGTATGAAACAAATAAATCTTGAAAACTTTAGTCTTCTTTATAAATTTAAAATATTTTTTAATTTTTTTTTCTCTAATTGAACTTTCGAAATCATTAATATTTGTTGATAAAAAATCTGTGTATTCATTTCCGTTGCTTCGTAAAGGTCGCTACGCCACTGAGTTATCTCCGCCTACAATGCCAATCACTAAGAAGAAATTCAAAATTCAGTGTAGCTTCAGAACTTTATTCCTAAATTACTCAAGACATAATTTTTTTAACTATGAAAGATGGACACATTATTCACAAACAAGGTGGTTACTTCCATGCCAAAAATAATAATTTAATATATGATAAAACAAGATGTCTTTGTGAAACAATGATGCCCCCGTATGGCAACTTATAGCAAAGGTGAGACTTTCTCAAATGCAAATCAAATACGTTGGTACCCAAAGTAAGGTCTTGTCTCGAGGAATAAACCTGTGAAATATGAAAGCCCTAGCAGCAGCAATTGAATAGATATGGAAAAGGTTAATGTTTTCTCAAAAGTATGTCAAACATCAAGGTCAAGATCAAATGGTCAAAATTAATGGTGCCAAAGGAAAGGCTTTCTCCCAAGAAATACACAGGTGAAATATGAAAGCCGAAGCACCAATCGTTCAAAAGTTATGGCCAAGGTTAAAGTTTTCCAAAAGTAAGTCAAACTCAAAGGTCAAGGTCAATGGGTCAAAGTTGTTGGTATCCAAAGAAAGGTCTTCTCACAAGGATTACATATGAAAGCCCTAGTACCAACCGTTCAAAAGTTATGGCCAAGGTTAAAGTTTTCCGAATGTAGGTCAAACTCCAAGGTCAAAGGGTCAAAATTGTTGGTATCCAAAGGAAGATTTTAATACAAGAATTACACATGTGAAATATGAAAGCCCTGGCACCAATTGTTCAAAAGTTATATGGCAATATGGCCAAGGTTACTGTTTTTCAAAAGTAGGTCAAACTCCAAGGTCAAGGTCAAAGAGTCAAAATTGTTGGTATCCAAAGGAAGGTCTTGTCACAAGGATTACACATGTGAAATAAAGCCCTGGCACCAATTGTTCAAAAGTTATGGCAATATGGCCAAGGTTAAAGTTTTTCAAAAGTAGGTCAAACTCCAAGGTCAAAGGGTCAAAGTTGTTGGTATCCAAAGGAAGCTCTTGTCACAAGGATTACACATGTGAGGTATGAAAGCCCTAGGACCAATTGTTCGAAAGTTATGGCCAAGGTTTAAGTTTGGTAAAATTTTGCAAAACTGGGTCAAACTCCAAGGTCAAGGTCAAAAGTTCAAATATGTTGGTACCCAAAGAAAGGTCTTGTCACAAGGAATACACATGTGAAATATGAAAGCCATAGCTCCAACCAATCAAAAGTTATGGGCAAGGTTAAAGTTTTGCGGACAAACAGACAGGCAGACGGACGGACAGGGCAAAAACTGTATACCCCCGAATCTTCGATACGGGGGTATAAAAAGCATTTTTTCTCAAAAATGCTTCCCAAATCTGAAAGCTGCATAGAAAGTTTAATCCCCCCTCCCTTGAAAAGAACGTAAATAAATCATACATGATATAAAAGAATACAACTAAGAAATGAAAATGATTGATACACATTTATAAAACAATGTTTCCTTATTTTTATGTACTGTCAAAAAACTAAATTCTTTTTATAGCATTTAATTCAAATGTCTCCGCCTATCTCAATGTAATAAAGAAACTGCAATCGGTTCGGGAAAATTTTACGTGCGATATATATAGGTGCTAAAAATTGGCTTGTATTTTTGGATATGTTAAAATTATTAATTATAAATATACAATCCTTTAAACATGTTAAATTTAAAATACTTTGTAATACATAATGAAAAAACCGTTATGTTTATATTCAACCGGTAAAATAAGGGTGTAAAAAGCGACCAAGCTACTATATTTAAGTAGAAAACTCCTTTGGTGACCCGTGGTGTTAAAGCATACATGTGTATCGAGGTCACGCGTATTATCCACCTCGGGATTAGCTACACAAAGAAAAATCTTATGAAATAAACAAGGGGTCTTTTTGTCAGTTAATATTTCTGTTAATTTTAGTGTTCTTATAAAAAAATTTGCATTATCCATAATTTTGTCTTCAAGATTAAAGCCTTGTCAGGTGAGCATTGCAGAGGTACACGTGCGAACCGTAAACAAAGCTTGTAAATATATGTGCATATACTACATGAATACATTTCGATTTCCTAACAGTGCAGTTGTACGTATTCGTATTTTTACAGTAGATCTAGAGTGGAGTGATTTTTTAATCTGGGGTTCAACAATGCTCTCAACGTATCAATTTATGCCGAAAATTTCAAGTCTAATTTTAGATTTCTGCAGTCTAAAGAAAACAACGTTACATTTTACCCTTCAGTGTACCCCTAGTGATATACAGTTAGATTCTGGTAGTCTGCATAATCTGAATTCCCTTGCGAAGGCAAAGGCATAAAGAAACATTATTTCTCGCATAATCACCAGTGTAAGATTGACTTGTCCGGTGTGAGACAGCAGTGTGAGATTTTTCTGTCCTACACTGTTTATTACTACGCCGCGAACGATAACGTAAACATTCCGTCTTTATAAAAAGAAATTGTAACAATGTTAAAAAAAATATTACACATCCTTAAAATGTTGTCATTTAACTTATTAAGATAAACTTATTTTCATTCAAAATATTGTCGTATTTCACTTTTTAAATGGTACTATTTTTAGATCGCGGAAGGATTCTTCTTGAATGAATGTGTACGCTATCGGATAGATAAGTTTTTTTATTCCCAGTTTTTATCTTTCTAATTAATTTACATGGACTGAAATTCATTTTATCAGTTTACACTATGTGTAAACCATTTTCAGGTACGCTCTCTCTGATGGTGTATTTAGATTTTTAATTAGATGGAAAATTAAAAGAATATATTTTTAGCCCTATCATGGCGACGTCATTGACAGGCCGTTATTTTGGATAAAATAATGCGAGAAAAATAATCATTCATTACATACTCGTGTGGGAATAGTGAAATTCCACCTCGGGGCCAAGATTCACGGTCTAGGACTCGGCAAAGCCTCGTCCTAGACCGTGAATCTTGTCCCCTTGGTGGAATTTCACTATCCCACACTCGTAGTAATGAATGATTCTATTAATAACAAACTCTGTCAGAATCCTAGGGGTAGAAAAAAAAGTGTTTACCTTGTGTGTAGAGGTTTATCCCCATACTGGAGGTTTTCTTTGCTGATTAAGAAAGCATCCTTATACCTTTCTATAATAACAGCTTGTGTACGTATTTGATATGTTGATACACACAACAATCTAACTTATTATAGGTCCTGTCTCCAATAAGTTATGCATTGTATTGATTCTCCAATACGAATGTTAGCGATGCACTAGACAGTTATAGTTATCGCTCACATCTGAAGTGAGCCGGAGATCAATACTTTTACCAAGTCTATATAAAGTATAATTGTTCACTTTCTGTTCCTGTTGAAGAATGATTATTACTCCCTTATAAAATAATAATAAAAAAAAGATTAAGGATCCAAGAGTGCATCCAAAAATTTTCTCGAGGAAGGCGGGGGGGGGGATATCAGAAAAACGAAATTGAAGGTAAATTATCAATCAAGAATCAAAATATTTTTTCCTCGTGGTTCACCTTTTTTAGAGAGAGAGAGAGAGAGACGGGTTAGAAAACTACTTCCATCCTGAATAATTAAATACCTCTTCCCTCAAAAAATAAAAATGAAATCATTATAATTTTTTTTTTCAAAAACTGATGCAGGTACGCACTAGATTGCTGATCAGTGTAGACACTGCTGTTAAGCTGTAATCAACATAAATTTAGGAATAAAAATCGAGTTTGTATCCAAAGAAAACAATTTCATATACTTCTATATATTTCTTTTTCCAAAAGTCTTTGGAAATAAAGATTTGCCGGGAGGAAAAGTTTCAGTTAAGATGAGAAATCTTTAATATTTGCGCAGACCCCTGGCCTTTTGCCTCCCCCTTTTTTCAAAAATCCTAGACAAGCGAATCTTTCTAAAACAGTGTTTGAGGAACATATACCTTCCTCTCCAGGTGCCAATATTAAAATGATTGATTGTATGCTGTTTTAAGTTCCATTCGAAATTTTTTTCATTCATGTAGAGACGTCATCATACCGGCGAGGGGCTTCAAATTTAGACCTATATATACCCTCGGCACTCAGGGCCATTGAGCAGTAAGGATTCTTTATCCTGCCAACGCCTAGGACCTCAGTTTTTAAGGGGTCTCATCCAAAAGACCCGTGACTTCGTGACTTTCACTTCTAAGGCCGGGCGCTTGGCGAAAGAAGTCACTGCCTATGTTTACGACTTAGGTTTGACGCGGCGCGCAGATTGAGAATGGAACCAGGGCCTCCCGATCACGAAGGGAACGCCCTAACACTAGGCTACCATGACCGTCTAATATTAAAAAGACAACAACTTTAATTTAGAATGCCTGTAATGATAATGAAAGCAATTGACCATCTACTAGTCAGGAGCAAACATAATTCTTTGTTTGATCCCTATCAGACCTCAATATATTGTTAAGAGTAATGTACATATTAGAGGGATTACCACTGTATCAAACTTGATGTTTGTCAAGCAAAGGGTTCTCAAAATTTTGAGAATTCAATATATTCCTATCTCAGGTTTACCCTTGACCTTTTTCCTTGTGACCTTATAGGGGTCATCAAGGAGAACCAGTGTATCAAGTTTGATATCTGTCAAACAAAGAAGTTTGAAGATATTGAGCTGTCAATGTATTCCTATGTCCAGTTTGACTTATGACCTAATATCTTGTACATGTACATGTAACCTCAAACTCAGGAACCAATGTACCAATTTTGATGTCTCTCAAACAAAAGGTACTCAAGATATTGGCGGACAATATCTTCCTATCTCTAGAGAAGTTTTACGTTTTAACTTTGACCTTTCGACCTCAAAATCTACAGTGGTCATCTATTCCTCAGTGGAACCAGTGTACTTAGCTTGATGTCCGTCAAGCAAAGGATTCTCAAGATATTAACAAGTAAAATCTTTAAATGTCCAGTTTGACCCTTCATCCTAGACCTCTTGAACTCAAAATCAACATCGGTCATCTACTCCTCATGCGAACCAGTGTACCGAGTTTGATGTATGTCAAGCAAAAAGTTCTCAAGATATTGAGTTCTCAATATATTTGTAAGTTTGATGTCATGTCTGTCAAGCAAATTGTTCTCAAATATTTAATGACAATATCTAGAGTCGTTTGACCCTTGACCTTTGACCTTGTGATTTCAAAATCAATAAGGGTCATTAACTCTTCACTGGGTACCAGTGTACCAAATTCTGTCAATCAAAGAGTTCTCAAGATATTGTGTGACAACACTTTGTCTACCGACTTACTAATCGACAGATGCAAAGCAATACCCCCTTTTTTTCAAGGGAGAGGGGCATACTTATATCGAAAGTGTTTAATTGCCTTATATTTGTTTCACCAATGCACAATTTCAAATTTACAAGTCATATACACCCCTTAAAACTCAAAATAAAAATTATATGATAATTGAATGTAGTTTTTTTTAAACGTTCTTAAACCATTAAAACTTAGAATCTTTGAGATTTATGAAAAAGAAACTCGAGTTTTCTTTGATAACCTTTTAAGTGATATGGTTCGTAAATCTGCGTATCTTGTAAGTAAAAAAATGTTAAGTTTGTTTAAGAATTACTCGCAAGAAAATGGCGACCAATCAATATGCATGTATAACACACGAAGCTGAAGATTTCATCTATTTTAGGAAAGCTTTGAATATCCATATGTGACTTCGTTTCAACGTTTTGGTGAAACTGTTTGTCAACCACATTTTTGTGTCATTAGAAAATCTGTTTCTATTCTCAACTGAATGATTTCTGTACACGGTGATATTCTCCAGTTTAGATTTTTCGAGTACAAATAGGGCTCACAAGATCCTCCAACCGCAATATAATTGGCTTAGTGTCCTATATTCAATTCTGAAATAATTCGGAATCACCAAAACTTTTGCATCTACTGCACCACATTTTTTGGAAAGAAAATTTCCTCCATCAAAATGTACACAAAGCTACGGATGATATCACTTTAGAGGACATCTCCGTAAAGATTCGGGGAAAACATGGAAGGAAGCATACTTAGGCACTGTAAAGGCCTGTAGTTGTATCACAGCAGATCTAGTTATGTAAACAAGAGGCCAATGGATCACAACGCTCTCCTGAGTCACTAAGGGCCTTTTGTTCTTCATGAGCAGATTTTTGTTCTATATATTATGTAAACTTTGACCACGTATTGTAGCCACGGAGTCATGATTTGAACAAACCTGAATCTACAATATCTGAGTATGCGTCCATATTAATATAACTAATCATGCCTTTGTTGATCTTGAAAAAACAATATCCTATAAATTCATATGTAAAACTTTGGTTGTTTATTCTAGTCCCACTCTATCCTCGGGGTTCATGATTTGAACAAAATTGAATCTTCACTTCCTTGGGATGTTCCCTCATAAGTTTGATCTTTTCTGGATCCGTAGTTCTTGAGAAAAGTTTAAAGGTTTTTCCTGTGTAAAACTTTTATCGCCCATTGTGGTCAAACCCTTACCCCAGGTACCATGATTTGAACAAATTTTAATCTACAGTGCTTTCACATAATTTTCTATTTTCCTGGTCCAGTGGTTCTTGAGGCACCAATTCAGTTATGCGTTTGTTACATTTCAGAGAAACTAATGCATAGCAATTCTAAAAATGAAACGCTAGATGGTGCTTGTGTAATGCTAGCCCAGATAACGAAGGTTCGGAATTTATGTTAAAATAAATTTGGCATATTGAATTGAAATCGAATTTTTAATATAAAATATTGGTAACATTCAGCATTCTTTGCATGATTGGTAGTATGCATCCCAAGTCAGGACTATTAAGTACTTGGAAGTGGAGCTGCTACATATATAGAGCATCTATTGCGAACTCTTTCAGGAAATATAGGTCACATGCAGCATCTGCATCATTATCGATGGTACGTTTTCTTGAAATCATCGTCCACGAAAGTTTGTTCAAGGTAGGGATTACATCTTTTTGAAAAAAAACTTGCCTTGATCACTCGTTCGGAAAAACGTTGCTTGCAGCATTCAAACCCTTGATATACAAGTAAAAGGTTAGCACAACTAAAATATTTGAATTCATCCAAAAATATACAAGATAGATCATATGACAAGCTTCCATAAGAAACATAACCCATTTTACTCCATGATATGAGTGTGACAGACAGACTGACAGAAAAGGGAAAGAACAAACTACTAGGAAACATCCTCAAAATTTGTAAGAGAATAGGAAATATTAAGAGCACAATGTGCTCTTTCCCCTCTCGCGCTCGCGATCGAAGAAACGAATGAAATAATTAAAGTCGGATGGTAAAAGAAATCAACTCACAATATTTGATCAGTTCTCCGAAAGCTAATTCAAATTAGTCAGAGTTTTTTCATTCCATAATTCATATTCAAATTTTACAACAAATTGATTTACCTTTATCTTTTAACCTTTATATGCTTTTTTAAATGTTGATAGTGTTGGAAATCTTTGAAGTCCACAGTATAGCCAGGTGAATGTGATGGGACTTTTTAACAATATACAGAGACCTAAACGGAGACATGGACATCGGTCTCACAATAAACCTAAAAACATGTACGATGTCTCATTTGATCACTTCTACCTTATAAACATAAACATGTGATATCAAAGATATGCTTGATTTTCTGATCGATAATATCTACATGATGCTTGGAGATGAAGTCCCCAACAATCTGTTGGAATTCCAATGAGTACTATTTGCAGATTTTGTAGAACTACGTCTTTAGAAAGAGAACTATGAGTATAAGTTGGATTACCATTTTCAGAATGAAATCCAAATTCCTCTAGAATACAATTGAAATAATGGGTTTTACAACGACATTGGTGTTATCTGCCTTGTCAACTGGGACTAGCACATATTGATCGTGTAATCTTTGTATAATCTAATATTATAAATTCTGTGGAGGATTACACCAAGCAACGGGCCAAGAATGAAAAAGAAGACCTTAACACTTTGTCAGAATGGATTAAAATTAAAGTATCAGATGAATGTTGAAATCTCATATAAAGCGACTGGGAGCAGTTTGAAAACCATCTATCCTTCTGTCTTCAATAATTCAGAAGTGAAAAAAAAATTTAGAAAGATTACACAATCAATATGCACTGGTCCCAGCTGACAAAGCAGATAACAACAAT